CTATGCATAGGAAATGACAGATAGAAAGCTTTCAATTTTTAATGTTATCCGATCTCTCTATCAAATGGCATCATCGACATTGCAAAATTTCCATAAGAGCATCTTTTTGAGCAATGGACAAGTGTGCTTGACGTATTCAATATTTGTTGACTGATTTGAAATCTTTTGTCTCGAAAAAAATGATAAAGTTCAATAGTTTTGAGGTGAATGGTATTGAATTTTGGCACAATGTAAATTTATTTTTACGTGATGTGAGTTTTTTGTAGATTGAATGTCTATCAAATTGATTTTACTAATTTCATTACATTTCACTTCAAATCAGCGAATTCAGCAACTTTGATTCAGCGAATTCAGCAACTTTAATTCAGCGAATTCAGCTACTTTAATTCAGTGAATTCAGCAACTTTAATTCAGTGAATTCAACCACTTTAATTCAGTGAATTAAGCTACTTTAATTCAGCGAATTCTTTAATACTTTAATATACTTTAATTCAATGAATTCAGCAACTTTAATTCAGCGAATTCAGCAACTTTAATTCAGTGAATTCAGCAACTTTAATTCAGTGAATTCAGCAATTTTAATTAAGCTAGGTCAAAATGCGTTATGAACCACCTCAGCTTCCTTACTCATTAGACAAAATTACATCACATTCTGTGGCAGCATAAAAAACATATCACAGAAAACAATGATGGATGTGTTTTGTATTTTGAAAAGAAAGAAGAGAACATGACTCAATTTGATATTGTACAGAATTACAAAATTCTACAGGATTAATTTGTAGAGCGCAAAGGATCTAATTTGTATCATTCTGTAACACAGAAAGCTCTTTTCACCCTTAAATGTAGATGTACATAGCAAAAAAGAGGATGAAAATTAATTTAAAAATAAAATCAGGGATCAAATATGATGACGTTGTACTTGTGGGCTTTTGAAATGTAAATTGGATTAAATGAAATGTCAGAATAACATTACTTTAACTCAATAATAACTACAACAATGGAAAATGTCAACCAGTTCTATTTTTATCACACAAATTTTTCATTTCCTTTTCTTTAGTTTTTCCAGTCAAGAAGACTTCAAAAAGTAAATTTGCTCATCTTCTTTATGACAGATTAGTCAATTTTCTATTTCCAGCAACGCATGGTCTCGTATTGATTTTATTAAAATTACTAACCCTCACCAATCTCTCGTCTATCTAGCTTCACTATAAAAATAAATTACTTATTTTTAGATTCAAATTAGAATCGCTAATAGACATGATGAGATGGGGGACTAAGACGAGATGAAAAGAGGTTGACAAGTGTGGCTCTATTTATTTTAGAATCTTTTGTCATCTGGGGATGAATTGAATTTTAATGAGGATTTAAATTAATATGTCTGGGGTTTTATGAGAATGGATAAAAGATATTTTGAGAATTTTGAGGTAGATTGGTCTAATTATGCGGATTTTATGAGCTAAAATGATTTTAGTCAAGTTAGCAACTGTTTGAATTTGATACAGAAAATTCTGCTGAATTCAGCAGTTTTAGCTGAATTCAGAATATTCAACAATTTTATTTAATTCAGCAAGTTCAGCAAATTTTGCTGAATTCAAGAAGAAATTAAACAATCCATCTTAAAATTCACATAAACAGCAACAACCAGCACATTTCCTCCCAATAATCTATCAATTTTAATAGCAGCTACCTAATCACTTTAAACATTCACATAATTTGACTCAAATGGTCATAAAATTGATCATAAATTCAACTTACTGTCAATATTTTCAGCCACCAAACATCCGGATTTCTCAATAAATCTCTAAAATTATCACTAAAAATTACCGCATATTTATTAATGTTTCCGTGCTTACTCAATAAAAATAATGAACTTTAGCACTAATGAAAAACAAACATGCTTATTAATGTGCCCATAAACATCCCATGATACTGCAACTTGATTGAATAAATAATGATTTTTATTTTCACTCCAAAAGAGCAACAATGTTGCGATTTTAATCACGCAAATTAGACATTGCATGCAATACGTTAAAAAAAGTCTTCCTTTTCGCAATATTTTCTTTCATCTTTACTTCCATTTTTCCTATCAAACATCTATGCACACATAATATCTGTCTTGTGCATATGTCTTATTGTTACTTTGTTGCCTCATATTATCGATATCTCTTTCTGTAGCTGGTTTTATTGTAAGAAGTGATAAGGACTTGAATGTTAAGTGGGGGAAACAACAATTTGAAATCAACAATTTATTAGAATTGAATAATTTTGCTATAAAATTCTAAACTTGCTATAAAAATTCTAAACTTGCTATAAAAAATCCGGACTCTCTTTTAAATTTCTGGACTTGCTATAAAAAATCGAACTTGCTTTAAAATTTTCAGATTTGCAATGAAAACTAAATGACTGCCTTGAAACTTCTTTAATTTTTAAAAAAATTTATATTAATTATCTGTCAATAGTATTCAAAATTAAATTCCCATGAAATGCGCTCTTTTCATTCTTAAAACCGACAACTTCTTCTGATTCGAAGAACTTCAATTTCAGATTGTAATTTCAATCCATTTCACATCTATTTTAATATTTGTATGTTCATATCAGAAGAGTTAAAAGATATATCGATAATAATAATGATTATTACTATGAATACAAGAACATTAAAGTTCACATTTTTATGGTCCAGAAAAAAAGTAAAAGAGATAGGCTGTGGTATACATGAGAAATATCAAAAACGAATGTGTCTGGTAATGAAGATAAAAATGAAATATGTGATGAGGAGATGGAAAAGAAGAGTTCTGATGTCGATTAAAAATCCATTTGAATTGAAATTTATGCGAGTTATAGAATTTATAAATGTATATATTTAGAAGCTTAAGGTGAGTTGAGAATTTATGTTAGAGCATGCAAATTTTTAAAAACGCAATTTCAAACCGTGTTTAGCTTATTCAGCACTGTTGTATTTATCCTATTCAGCACTGCTGAATTCAGATTATTCAGCACTGCTGAATTCAGATTATTCAGCACTGCTGAATTCAGATTATTCAGCACTGCTGAATTCAGCTTATTCAGCACTGCTGACTCAAAACGTGCAAATTTCCAAACTCAAAAGTAACAAAGAAACACAACAAAACCTCTTAACCTCTTCAGCTACTCATTACAGCTACTTCAAATCCTAGCCCACAAGTACTTATATGCAGAAAGTTAAACTTCAAATATATTATAGCCAAATCTTCAATTCAATCTTTCGATAAGCTCTTTAAAAAGCATTACAAATGAAGTTTCAAGCAACCACCCAGTAATTTCGCAAGCCATGTGCGCCTCCTTAACTATTAATGCATAATATATCATTAAATATTCAATTATCTCCCTAAAATGAATCATGTTATTCGCCAACTTTCTCTGATTATCGGCATTCGGTAATTTCTACCTTGTTCAAGAAGTTCCTCAATATTGTTGCTAAAAAAATCGCGAATTCATTAAAAAAAATCCCAATGAGTGCGAACAAAGAAAATGTCAGTTAATTTTGGTTAATTTCGAAAAATTCAAAAAAAATTCGAAAATATGAAATTTTGAAAAATAAAAATACGTTAACGACTTAATTAAGAAACAAATTTATTTTAATTGTTTTTTGATGCAAAATTGTTTCTTTTATGTATTAATCAACACGGATACTGAAATTTTGCTCTAAATTTAACAAAAGCTTTTAATAGTTTATCAAACGTTTCTTCACAATGTTCAAAAACTACTTCAACTTGGGCAATTGCTGTATCAATAAATTGCTGATTAAATGAAGGATCAGAACATGAAATAAGACAATTTAATAGCCTATAAATGAATTCTAGACACATTAAAAAACATTGAACTTCTACTGAAAGTTTCCATGAAGATTCTTTTTTTTAAGAAGTAATTTAAATGCAAAATGTAAACAAATAATTGTAACGAAAATTTCAAATTCAAATTTTTTTTCCCACGCTCGAAAATTAGATCCTTCGAAATCGAAAATTAGTTCTCATCCGCACTCATTGGAAAAAATCGAATTGGGAATTTTTATAAATTTAGTCATAATGAAAACAACATTAAAATCCAATTAATTCTGAAGTTCTCTCTCATCCAATTTTGCTTGTGTGTTTATATAAAATACAACAAATTATTTATTCTTCTATCTATGGCAAAATTTATACGAGTATGAAGGAGGTGTAGATGAACAAAAATAAAATAATAATATAATCAACATAAAGCAGCAGAGAAAACAAACATGAAGATCGATATTTTTTAAAATATGTATTTAGGATTTATAATGCAATGAGAGAGGTGTTGAGAGGAATATTGAGGTTTTGGTTATAACTGAAGAAATTTGCATGATTACTGAAGCTTTTTATGATGGAAAGCGAAAAGTGGCTGACATTCTTGCATTAATGAATATTGAGTATTGAGGAATTTCAGCAATATTAGGCTCAGTGCTGAATTTAATCAGTCTGATTATCTGCTATTATCTTTTTTGGCAGCGTTGAATTTTGATATTAAAGCACTTCTGAATCTAGATCATTCACCGCTAATGAATTCAGATTATTCAGCTTATTCAGCGCTGCTAAATTCAGAGTATTCAATAGCATTTAATAAAGCGTATACAGCTGTGCTGAATTGCGTTCAATAAACTTATTTATCTGATTCAGCACTACTGATTTCAGCTTATTCAGCACTACTGATTTGAGCTCATTCAGCTAATTCAGCACTACTAAATTAAGCAGTTTTTGACCTCAATAATTTACACAGATCTCACAATCTGCAAACATAACCTCAAAAAATCACCAATCAACATCTTCCAACACTTCAAAAGACTTCTTTCATGACAAATTCCGAAATTCTCAAGTCACTTGATCACAAATCAATTTTAAAATGTATACAAAAATAATATCACAATAATCCATAATGATGTCGATGATTGCGGAGGGAAATTGAATAAGAAAAATAAATAAATAAAAAAAAATCACTTCAGTACTCACCACAAAGATAGCGATCGCTTTGTGACCGCGAATTCCGCAAAACCTATTTGTTGTTGTTGTTGACATAAGAAAAGAACAAGAGAAATAATCATCAAGTAAGTAATAAGTGAGTAAGCAGATATAAAAGAAATTATATTTTTGCGAGATGCGAAAATTGTCGGTTCACTAAAAAGCAGGCAGGCAGCCGCCTCGTACAAAATAATGAGTGAATGTCATGTGTACGTGTATACAATCAAATCAATAAATCAAGATAGAGGAATTGAAAAAAAAAATCAATCGAATCGACTTACCGTTAATTTGTTAAAATCCTCAAGAAATTGATCGCGCCTTACAAGCATCGGAACGGAACTGGATTTAGTTGATAGATTTTGCTGTTGTATCATATTTGAATCACTCGACCATGAGCTCGGCGATGGCGATGGTTGACTAATAACTTTAATATCATCATGAAAAGGCTCTTGTTCCATTGATCCATCAACATAATGTCGTTGACGTTTTATGGAATTAAATTGTGTTGTCGTATTGTTACTGCCTTGATTGTTATTCTTTTTTACTCGCATCAATGGCAAGCTATTGTAATAATTTTTAAATCTCTTATCAACACATCTCGAATCGGACGAGCTATAACTAAAGTTATTAAATCCTTTCTCATCAAACTCGTCATTTCCGCTGTCATTATCGTATGAGCTCAACACCTCAAGTGCATCATCTACATCATTCTCAATCTTCGTACTCGACTCGATTAGCTTACACACCTCATTAATTTTATTTATGGAACTAATCGAACTTTCAGACTTTTCTGAATACAAATTCGTCGAGTCCTCAAATGCCGACGATGTTGAGACAGACGAACTTGTTGATTTATTATCCTCATCGATACTTTTCAAAATGGAATCATTCGATGAACCCGGTGTTATGCTCGTTTGTATTTGATTTGTTTTAACCGCTTGAAGAACGTCACTGATGATGCTGTTGTTATTGTTTTTAGCACTGCCGTTGTTATTGTTTGTTGTGTGAATTTCATTCTCCTCAACATTATCATTTAGATTCTCATGACAGTTATTAATATTCGTGATGCATTTTGTTTTATTAGAAAATGACTGCAGTGGAATTGTTACCTGGATGGACGCGAGAGTGAAAAGAAAGAATGAATATAATAAATAAGAATGGACTTTATAATTTATTGTTAAAATTTTTTGTTTTAATTTGAAAAAAGCTTTGTGAATGTTCCCTTTTAAATTTAGTTTCTTATGTGCTATGGGTGAAAAGCATTATAACCTTATTTAGGAATGCTTGGTTCAACGAATTCTTTCTGTTCAGTGCTGCTAAATTCAGCTTATTCAGCGCTGCTGAATTCAGATTATTCAGCACTGCTGAATTCCGTCTACTTACAATTCATATAATTCGCCCATAAATTTAATAAACACGTAAAAAAGCCTATCCATCATTCAACACTCAATATTGACACGAAAACCACACCAATTTAACAAATAAAACTCATAACTACCCATCCCTTCTTTTGAATAAGTAAATTTCTTAAGAAGAAGTAGAAAATAAGCTTAGCAAATTAATAAAAACTTTTGTATTAGCTACAAGGCCAACGTGGACATATTCACACCTTGACATAAGAGATTCAAATTGGATATTCACAGAATGTCAACAAGGGATATTCAATGTACTCTGTTTTTCAAAATCTTAAGAATTATTTGGAGGACGTTGGATCTCATAGAATTTTGAAAATATAAATACGGTGCGAATATACAAAAAAAAACATTTTTATTTCTGACACGTGATTGCTTGCAAGCCGCTTTTTGTATTGTTTATGTTCATTTTGTTACGAAAAAAAGGAGAATTAAACTAAAACTTTTATTTTCATTGTGTACAGTCAGACAACAACAATAGTCAGTCTATCTTGGGTTCAATTTTTCAAGAATTTATTTTTATTTGCCACGAATGAAAATTTCGTTTTGTTGTATATCTGATTATTACTTTTTGTGTTGGAACTTACTTTAAGAATAAATTTATGCACGTATAAAAAATAGCTCATAAAGCCACACAGATTGGAAATCTTTTCTCTCAACTCAGTGAGCTTTTGGTGATGAAATGAGAATTTTACGGTTTGTTTAAGTTGCTGGCTGGATGTTAAGTAGACAAAAATTTTTACATATAAGGAAACAATTTCAAAACCTAATTACGGCTATAACTAGAGCTTTCAGAGAAATTAAATCAAGTGTAAATGGCTTGTGCCATTCTTTATTTACCAGTTTGCTACTTTGTTCAATTCAAAACTGCCTAATTAGAACAAAAATCACAAAAAAAACTTAAATATGAGAAAAATAAATCCGCCATTTTGAAAATAATTTGCTTATGAAATTTTAATCTCAATAAAACCGTTAAAATATTAAACTCCGTCAAAACCTCTTTAAATTCTGAAATTTTTGCTTATGTCTCAAAATAAATCTAAAATGCGCTCTATCTCCGACCCTAAAGCTCATCTTTCTTCAACACATTTTTATAAAAATTAATTTTAAATGCAAATATATTCAAGCTATTAATAATCTTGTTGTTGTTCTTATTATTATTGTGTGAGGCATTTAAAAAGGAAACTGAATATATGTTTTCGGGCTTCATTACATGCCACAGTCAGTCGGTCGCAATATCATATATGTCTGTATGCTGTGCAGATTAATATAAAAAAATTCATAAATAAATTTCAATCTTAAAAGGCTCACTAATGCTGACTCTTTTTTTTTTCGATGGAAGACAAAAGGAACGATGGAAAAGATCTTGAAAGATACAAATCAGAAATATTTTGTTGGCGATGCCAAAGAAATTTAAAATTGAAGACGAAATTTTGTTGCCTGATAGAAGTGAATGATAATGGAAATATTTTTTGATCAGATGCGAGGATTGGTAACATCCTCAATAATTTGTATTGATAAGTCTACCGTCGGATTTTGTCTATGCCAAACTGATAGCCCTGCAAATCCATCATCAACTCATCATCGCAACAATCCATTATCAACAACTGTCAATTTTGATGAGATTATCTTACTTAATGTCCATGAAAAATTTAATTCACACATAAAGTCGTCAGCATGTTTGATGTTTTCTAGCCACTAACCGCTCCTTTTACGGATTAACGCTTTTATCAAGTCAAACATTTTTAAAAATACCCTAATCGCAATTTGTTTCCTACTAAAAGCTGTTTGAAATTAGGTTATTACGATAACGAGGAACTGATTGCGGATTTTTACATATTCAGAGTCCAAAAAGTCGTAATAAAATCAGCATAAAAAGTTAAAAATTAATTTCTTATTCGCAGGAGGGAGTCATAAAAATTAATCTAGTGCCATAAAAAGTTGCCTTTCCTTGCGATAAATAAAGAATTTAAAATTCAAATTAAGAAAAAAAAAATATTTTTGCATCTCCTTTTCGAAAACCACATCGAAAATGTTTTATCTTTCACTCGGCTATTCTTGTCTTTGTTTGTGGCATAAAAAAAATAAACCAGTAACGAGTTTTAATCTGTTTTGTTTTTTTGTGTGATAGCCTGTTAAATTTAATGAATCGTCATAAAGATAAAATACATTTTTGAAGCAGTTTGTTTGAAAGTTGTGGGGTTTATGGTTTGTTTGGCTGTATGTTCTCTGCTAGTGGCACATTTTCTAAATGTAAATTGACATTGAATTGAATTTTGTTTGCAAAATTACATGGCCAAAAGATTTTATTGCTCATAAATCGAAAACTAGAGCAAATTAGTATTTTAATTATTGTGGAACAAATCTTCGCCATTTTTTAGATTGACATTGAGTTTAAATTGAAATTTAAAATTTGGTAATTAAAAAAATATGAGCGAAAAACTTTTAAATATGAGAAAAAAATATTCACCGCCATTTTGGTTTGTGTCTTTGCTTAAATTTTAATTAAATAAAAAATTGTATAGCTGTCATGGTTTAAATCATAAATAGATTAAGAAATTGCATTCATAACTTCCTAAAAAAAAGTCAGCAGTCCCGAAAAATGCTCCATAAACCTCAAAAATTCTCCAACTTATCAATAACATTGATATTTATTTATATTTTTTTTTTTCATATGTATAAATCTTACATCATTGTTATCAAGCCAATAATTCCAAGCCTCTTTCTCTTTCATTTCTCAATGTGCCTCAATCAAAATTGATCATTTACTTCTTTATGCTTTTTATTATTTTCTCAACTCATATTAAAAAAATGGCAATAAATTCTTTCTTAAGCCTTTTTTCTTCTTTCATTGTTATATGCTTATTGAACATGACAAGATATTTTTTTGTTCATTCTTTCATTTACAATATGCGATCACATTTCATTGTTGCTGATCATTTAGCACATATTTTCAAGGAAATATATTGGACTTGAGTGTCTTTGTTTTGTTATGAGTCTATTTTAGCTTTTTATTGAAAAGTGTCAATTGTTTCAAGTTAAAGATTGATGGTCTTTTGTTCAGATTCATTATCTTTTGAATTTATGATTAAAAGAGCAGATGTAAATCTTTTCAAAATGGGAGGGGGCTTGTGGTGAAAGAATTTCTAGCCCTAGCCACAAAAACTTTCAATCTTCATTCATATCCTTCAAAACTGCGCCATGTGCCAGAATCCTCAACTTCCCATTATCCAATCACCTCTAACATTTGATATCAACTCTTCGGATATTATTTTTTGCACATATGTGATTGACCAAATTGTGAATTGCATTCACGTGCCACAAGTTGTACTTAATAAATGTAGAAAAAAAAATAAGAATAAGGAGAAGAGAAAAGAAAGGAATCGAAAGAATTGGCGACATTTAAAGATATCCAATGGTACATGCTACATATTCCTTTCGTCTTCAGCATGAGGAGATAGAGAGGTACGAGAAATAATAAGAATGAGTTCCATGTTTGTCGTTATTATCATTTTAAATAAACAATAAATTAAATCACAGCGAGCGATAATTCATCGAGAAATGAAAGGAGTGTGTGCATATATACACATGCGTACGTACGATCGAATGTGCAAGGAATGCAAAATGAAATGAGAACAATTTCATCAAATGGATTCTCTCTTTCCTCGCTTATGTCACCACGTTAATATATGTGTATCATTTTAATTTAATGATAACGAACTGAAAGGCAAACAGAAAATTAAAAGAAGGCCAAATGTGCAGCATCAGAGTTTGCTGGATGTGGCGCCGCTTCCATAAATAATAAAAAAGGGAGAAAAATATTCATTGAAAATTCTTATGTGACCGGACTTTGTAATGTCGACAATATTTTTACGTTTCATTCATCAAAAAATAATTTCAAGATCGACTGCATTGGTCATTTTTCATTTTTATTGATAGCAGAGCAGGGCGATTGAGTTGGAATGAACAATAAAGTGACTAGAGCGCATTTTTGGATAGACTCGTAATTTTAATGATATTAATTTGAATTTTTTTCTAAGAACAAGTTTGAATATTACAAATTTTAACGACTTTTTAGTCATTACCCAAGCTACACTCACCATTCTTCACTAAAAACCATTTCCAAGGGTGGGAAACTTTCGAGGACTTTAGTTACATTAAACAGTCGTATAATTAATGCGATGTGATGTGCATGCACGGTTAAAATAAATATAAAATTTATGAGAGACGTTGACAATTAAATATGAATGAATGTTTCAAGGAAATCAAAGTGAAATAAATTGTTTCCACTATTTTGTTGACGTTTAAAATGGCAATTAGGGAACATTGTTAATATTTTTTACGAGGCTTTAAATGAATTCATAAAATTTTGTAAGATCAAATTGTCGATACTATGTGGCGTTTGAATATAAGGAAGTAAAACGTGAGGAAGATTGTAAAGTTATGTTAAAATTTGACATATTGAACAAAGAAAACATATTTTTTGCGAAATCTAGTCAATAATGGTCAAAATCTTTGTAATCTAGTCTCGACGTTAAAATTTTGCAAAATCTAGTCCAAAATTGATAAAATCTATTCCACAAAATTCAACATCTATGAAATCTAGTCCATAATTTTCAAAATCTAGGCCTTTGACGTTCAAAATTCAACAAAAATCTAGTCCATAAACTATAGTCTACGAAATCTAGTCCAATTTTCATTTAAACCTATGCCAGTTAAGTTAAGTTAAGTTAAGTTAAGTTTATTAAGCCATTCTAAATATAAAATAAAAATTATACAAATAATAAGTAAGGAACGTGTTACTAGATGGCACTGCAATTGCAGTTGGTAGAATTAAATTTCTTTAAAATTAATATAAATTGAGTTTCAATATCAAATGTCATTTTAAAACCTCAAAAACATAATTAATTATTTTTCCCAAAAATTAAGCCTCTCATTCACTTCGCTTCTGATTGATTATAAATGCCGCAATCGATAAGTAAGTTTTAAATAGCGGTAGAATGCATAATGAATGAATTCAATCAAAATGAAATGAATTTTTTTTTGGCTCTTTTAAATAAATAAAAATAAATGTGTAGAGGCATTTTTAAAAGCCAGTTAGTTCAATCGAGCGGTCAATTTAATTCAGTTTTCTTATAAATAAATAATGAAATATAAACTCCGGCAGCATAAATTAAATTTTCGTGTATCATGCTAACAGACACGATCAGTTAGGTTCTTTAGTGGATTTTTATGTAGCTGAACGACGTAATGCACTTTGGCTAATAGCTTTTATGCATGGAAAATTAATTAATTTGATATTTTATTGTTTTAAGGTTTGGATTATTGTTTTTTGATAGATTTGAGAGTTATGATTGGAATTTGGAATAGATTTCTTTTATATTTACTAATTTGTACTAGATTTTAAATTAATTCTAATTTATTTTTTAAAATTGTACTAGATTTTGACATTTATATCAAAAATGGAGTACTAGTTTATTTTAGATGATATGGACTAGATTCAAGCTAGTTCTGGGTGTTAAAAGACTAGAATTTGAACTAGATTCAAGCTAGTTTTGGATTTCAAGTGGATTAGGCTTGAATGAAGTAGATTAATATGGACTTGATTAATCAGTTTAAGTTTTATTTAAACTATAAAAGAACTGCGCCTAATCTGAACTCTCTTAATCAATTCCCAACTCCTCATTTCACTCCATTTCTTTCAACATACCTAAAATTAATAATTTTTCTAATAATCACATCAATCTAAATTCGTGTGATTATTTTGATTTCAATAGAAAAAATTGTCTGAATATTTCTACCGGTTGAGTACTTCCCGTGAAAATAACAGGAATCGACAAATTAAATAAGAAATGAAAATAAAGCATTTTTTGTCGATGATAAAAATCAGAAAGAATTTAATATGCGTAGAAAAATTATTTATTTTTATTGAGCATGAATGTGGTTTTGAGAATCATGCGATGAAGATTTTGAACAGAACTTTTTGAGTTTCTTGGAATTGGGTGATTTTTTTTAAAAAATTCAACTTAAATTTCTCATTTAACCATTGAACCAACATCGTTGGTTCATAGCCTCATTGAATAGCCAATAATAAAAAACAGCAACCCTAATTGAGAAAATTGTCACGTTTCATTGATAAATGACTCCCAATTTCACAACAATCGTATTCCATTAATTAACGAAGAAAAAAAAGCATAAACGACCTAAAAATTAATTTACGTACGAAGCACACATGACACTTGTAATGTCAATAAAATGTGAAATCATAATTTATACACGATAAAAATGAACAAATGAGAAAAGGGGCTGTTCACTTATTACGTAACGCGAAAAAATGACTTTTTAGACCCCCCCCCCCCTCGTAACAAAATTTGTATGAAAAAAAAATTTCCTTGTTTGAACCGTAACAAAATCTTAGACCCCCCTCCCCCCCCTAAAAGCGTTACGTAATAAGTGAATGGCCCCAAAGATAAAATAAAAATTAACTCAAGAATGTGCGTATGCAAAAGAAAGGAAGGCAACGAAAAGAAAGAATCGAAAATATTTATGGAAAGATGAAAAAGTATCTAAAGGAGAAATTAAAGAGCAATACGGCTCGATCAAGAGTATTATTTTTAAAATAAAAAATGGTTTTGATGTCGATTTTTTCGAAAAAATTGAAATTTGTTGAATTTGGTCGAATCTTACAAAACCGTTAAAAACGAATCTTACAAAAGCGTTAAAATTCAAATCTTTCAAACCCGTTAGAATTCAAATATTACAAAACCATTAAAACTCAAATCATTCAAAACCGTTAAAATTCAAATCTTACAGAACCGTTAAAATTCAAATGTTTCAAAAACGTTAAAAATTTGAAGTTTACAAATTTCACACAATTCTCATCTCAAAACCAGAGTCCGTTACAAACAAAACAATTTCAAAATTTTCGCGCGGTATTTTTTTAAAATTTCAAAATAAGAAAGTCAGTTACTTTTTATTTTTTTTTTAAACTAGCTGTTTTTTAAAGCATAAACATTTAAGGAATGCAATTTCACCATAGTGATTATCTTAATCATAGAAACTAGTAGGAATGTTTACTAAAATTACAAATTACTCGAAAAATAATAATTTAAAACGAATTTTTTTAAAAATAAGAACTTCGAAGATTCGATTTTCGAAAAATAAGAACCTTAAAAATTCGAAGTTCAAATAATAAGAACTCAAAAATTTCTGTTTGCTAGCATTGGCCTATCACTATCATAACTTCTTGCATTTCTTTATTCTACTTACTCGTCAGGAAATAAACAATATTTATCGAATCTCTCATTATATTAAGAGTAAAAATGATGATGACGATCATATAAATGAATTATTATTGTAATGTTAAAGCCATTAAAAACCTTATTGAAAAAATTTAACTTTAATAATTTAAATAAATTGGATTGGAAGTTTCTTTCACAAAACGGACACGTTGAAATTGAATATTTCAAAATTGATTATTTATAGTTCCAATTATCGATTTTTTTGGTTTCAAAAGAAATCGATAGCCGTGCATAAATTGATAATTAATTATTGATAAGAAAATTGAATGCAAAAATATTGCTTATCTAACCTCAAAATTATGGTAATTTTGAGTGAAATTCTAGCTTGACTTGATTCCATTTTAAGCATACCTAATTTAGTTGCGGTATTTTGATTTTTATCACAACATTGCTAATCAGCTCTGTCCAATTTGCATTGTGATACATCCTGTCTTTTTCTGACCATCGACAGTCATATCTGCGATCTTCTCATGTGATGCATTCGTAATTTATTTTTTATTTGATTTTCGAGTATCTAATTGGATTTGTTGGATCTTTTTGGCTCTTAAATTTCGAGGAGAATTTGCGAATTCTCACATCATCTTGCAAAAAATTATAATTAATGAGGTTTGTTAGCGAATTTTTTGTGAATTATTGAAGATTGCATTGACTTTACTGATAAAGGTGTGGATGGGAAATGAAGATTAATCACGAAATTTTAATTTTGTTAAAGATAGATGTGAGTATAGAATGTCAAGAGATTTTTTTTTGTCAAATTTTCAAAAAAATTCAAAATTATAAAGTCCGTTTAAAATTCAAATTTTACAATACCGTTAAAAATTCAAATTTTAGAAAACCGTTAAAATTTCAAATCTTACAAAACCATTAAAATTTCAAATTTCACAAAACCGTTAACTGAAGTTGTTTTATTTCCTCAAAAAATTCGATTCACATGATCAAGAACTATCCATAATTGGCATATTTGGATACTAAATATTTTTCTAGTTCAAGCAGTCAATCGATCATTGTAAAATTGATTTACCTAATTCCAATGAATTTTCAACAGTCCATAACGGCATCGTTCTAATAATTTTTGATCGTAAATTTCCTATATTACCTTATGAGAACAGATACTATTTTTGGACAACGAGTAGATTCCAATTTAGATTTATGAAAAATGTGTTAATTAAGATGGAATTCCACGCAATTCTCATGATTCATTTTTTCCCAAAAAAAAAAATATTCCCGAAGAATTTTTTACCAGTTTTAGAAAATTCGTGATTTTTTAACATCATAAAAAATTCTCAAATATCCCACAAAAAACTTATAAATTCAGAAGTAATCTGATAATTTGCGTCTTTTTTCTTTATCTTAATGACTTCAAAAACATCCATTCGTTTTCTACTTTTTGGTGATATTTAAATGCATTTTTATTGCCTGTGCAAGAATCTTCAATTCAAGATCCGGGCACAAAAGTCGAAAAACAAAACGATTATTGACTTCTTCATATTTCTTTCATGCCGCTTATTTATATCGTTAATGATATTGACAAAAAAAAAGTGTTTAAATTTTTTTATTTTTGCTCATATCAGCAAGGCCGCAAAAATATAAAATTTAATGGGAATGCGTGATATTTTTCGATTCAAAAAAAATTCCCAATCAGCATATCAAAAGATTGACGTCAAATTAGCAAGTTTGGAAGACTTTTGAAGTTGATTTTAACAGGGAAATATGAAAAAAATCTAAAAGTTGGAAATAACGGTTTTTATAAATTTAAAAAACAAATTCTAGGTTATGGAACGTGATTTTAATAAGGTCACAGGCTAAAACAAGGTTGCGATACAGGCAACTGTGCACATGTGAGAACCGTACAATTGTCAGGTTTTATTAGAATTTGTATGGTTTTGTTAGAAAAACCTTATAAATTATCAAGGATTTGTACGGTTCTCACCTGTGCACAGGTGCCTGTATCGCAACCCTAGGCCAAAGCTATTGTTTATCATGCTACGGACATTTCAGTGTCGAATTTTTTCGACATGTTTTAATTTAGTCGACCTAGCGTTTGAATATTTTAAAACCGTTAAAAATGTTGTTTATAATGAAGCTTGCTAGATATTTGACTGAGTGAGTTAAAAAGCTTGATAGGGAAGCTCTGATATCCATAGAAACCGGCCTCAGAAAGCATTGCTATCTGACATATAATTCCCGCCCAAACTGCCCAAACATAACCAAATTCCAACAAAACATTGCTTTAAAGTATGAATTCCGCACGAAGCAGAAAGGAAACATAAAAGAACATTCAGCAGAAAAAAAATCAAACTTAATTGAATTAAAAAGGTAAATAAATAAATAATAAAAATATAAAATAAGCAATAATGTTACAAGAAACCATTGTCACTTACATGTTTTTCCGGTTTTAAAATGTTGTTCTTGACGGCTGTCGTTGACACTGTTGTCGTTGTATTATTTAGTCTCTCTTGATTACTTTTGGCAGCTGTCTCCAAATTTTCCATTTCCAATTTGATGAAATTCTCAAATTGGGCCAATGAGTTCCAATCATCGATGTCATGCTTGCCATTATTATTATGATTTGTGTTACAAATGCTTGGTCGTTCTGCTTTTATGGATATTATTGGTTTGAGCTGTTGCGGTGAGTCATTGCCGCTGTTACTGCTGATGCTGTCAACAGTATCAGTTACTTCTATCGCACTATCACTTTCATTTACTTGAAGTTTATCAAACACTTCAGATATTTCAGTCTGTAATTAGAGATACAAAAATGGAATTAAAGAATTTTTCTGGTTTTAAATTACAAAGAATGTTGTTAGTTTAACACAATAAGTCTATTGCTATTGTTCTTTAGCGTTGTTGTTGATAGAATTTTCTCTACAAAAAGAGGCGCAATTTCTGAAATTATGACAACGAAGTGATATAAAAATAAAGTTTACTGCAGTTTACTGGTAAATAAGTAATTTAGGGAAAGAATTGGTTCACAATATCAAGCTTTGACCTGAAAGGCTTATGATTTAAAATTCTTTTTTGTATAAAACAACTCAAGTCTTTGATGAATTTTTAAAAATTAGTGATAATATTTTTTTGTAGCTACTATTTTCTCCCCTATTAGCAAGTGCAATTAATCCCACAATATCATACGGAATAACTAATCTGTTTTCATCCTGCAGCTAATGTCAAACTGAACGTAAAAGCAGGCACACTATAATATATAAAGCACAGCAAAATATCCTTTCATTCTAAGTCCAAATCGCGATGTCTAAAGTTGAGGACGTTATTAGATTTTATAGAGGAATCTTTCATATCTTAGGCATTTGGCCAATTGGTTCTCTCAAAAAATGGCACTATCATAGTTCCATTGCTGCTGTTTTTCTTTTTCTGATTTTTCCACTCATCATGTGCTGTTTATCGTTGGTGCAAGTGCAAAGTGTTGAAACTTTCGCACTAGTAATAATGCACATCGTCAGTTTCAGCTGGGTGATATATATACGGATTTTGTTTTACGCTTACGCACCAAAAATTAAGAAGTTCTTAAATAAATTGTGTGAAACAGTCTACAAAGATGATGATGCTCAGTCATTTGTTGATGAAGCATCCATTAAAGCATTAAAAATCTCAAAACTTTTGATGTTTTGTGAGGTTTTCGCTGTTAACTTTGCGACAGTTGTAGTTCCTATGGCTTATGGAATTTTACCATTTCAAATGTGGACACCAGACTGGGCTAACCCAACAGTTATCTTCGGCATTTACTGGTTCATCGAATGGTTGACTTTTAACTATTGTTGCCAAATCGTTAACATTTTTTTCTTAAGCTTTTCAATATTGGTGATCATCAATGGATATGGACAGTTCTTGAATGTTCGATTGAGCATGCTTGTGTCAACGAAAAACCATGATGGATATCAAGATTTGGTCAGATGCATTCTCGCTCATCAGAAGTTTAAGCAGTAAGTTTTTGATTTTTTTTTCAATTATTTTCTATTATTCCTTATTTTTGTCCAGATTGGTTGATGACTTCAAGGAAATTTGGGGCAACATAATAGGGATGTATTACAAATTGGTAGTCATCATAATTGGTGCCTGCATTTTTGTCATTACAAAGGGAGAGGGTCAGATTACATTTCGGGAAAATCTGATGCTTTACTTCTATACTGCTGCACTGTTAATGTATATCTTCATCATGTCATATTTTGGGGATATGATTTGCTTTACATCTTCACAATTCTTGTATGGTCTATTTTCGAGTGATTGGATCGATGCTGACATGAAGTACAAGAAGGCAATGATAATTGTCATGGAAAATATGAAACGACCTGTCAAGTTAAGTGTCCTCTTCTATGACTCAATCAACTTGCAATTGTTTCAGGATGTAAGGATTTTAATTTATAATTTTAAAGTTTTTAATGAATTTTTGGATATTCACAGACTGTCAACGAGTGCTACTCAATGTACTCAATTTTTCTGAATCTCAAAAAGAAGGTCAACTCTTAAATAGGTTTATATACATCAAGATCATGCTTAGAGAAGATAGAATTTTAAGAATATTTATTGTAAAATTGATGTTGAAAATGTTTAATTTAAAAATTTGTGACATAAAATGAATTTTAATGATTAAAATTTTAAATAAATGTTTTGTTGATCGTGAGCACATTTAATAGTTTATTCTTAAACCTCCCTTATCCACTTCTTAACAAAAATGCAACAAGAAAAGTTCAATACCTTCAATCTAAGTAGAACAAGAAGAATTTAACTTAAAAAAATTCCTATTTTGAAGCAACGATAAAATACAATGCAATAATTCTGTTGCCATCACTTAAGAAGAAAGAAATGAGACAAGACTAAGAAACTATATATAAAGTAAATCGAGAAGTACACACAATATATTTTCTCATGGCATGGCATGGCATAGGATGTGAAAGAAGAAATTACATTGTTTGATGTCAGAAATCATTTGGATGAAAATATTTTAATATAAAGTTATATGTAATCAGGAATGAATGGAGATGGAAGGAGAGAATATGAAGATTGTGTGGGCTTTTAATCTAATGGGATTATGTGTGTGCATATAAGTCAACTAGGAATGGGAACTGTTGGTATTAGATTGGGCTATAATTTACTTTATGAATGGGGAAATGTTGTTTGACTACAGAAGGATTTTTATTAAGTTTGAGATATTTAAGACTTTAAGATGTGTGGATAAATGTCAACTGGTAGCTTGAGGACATGAAATTTAGTAACGTAATTAACACCTGTTGTGTGCTTGCTTGATTGAAGCTTTCAGATAAAGATTTCAAGTATTTTTATTTTGGTCTACGATCCTTTTTCTACTAGCTTCATGTTATTTACTTCTTTGTTGCTATTTTCTGAGTTGTGGTTTTGTTGGATGGGATGGTTTTAGCAAGAATGTTGGAAAGTTCTTAAAGCAATTGAAAGATAAAGTGCATTTGAAATTGCTGAATGGATTGTGAACTTGCTGAATATATTTTGAACTTGCTGAATAGATTTTCAATATAGCTTATCAAAAATTCAGCCCAATTCAGCTCGACAAATTACCCAATTCAATTCCTTAACCAGAAACCAACCCAACAGCACCAAATGCATCAACAGATTAGCTGATTTCATCAAAAATAATGCTCCAAATATGTACATACTACTTTTTTATCTTACACCACACAACATAATACATAATAATAAAAATATTAAGCTAAACTAAGGCAGCCGTGGAGCTGACAAGAATTTCCAAGACGGATAAAAATAAATCAGATTTGTGTGATGGTTGAACATGATAAACATGGTATGTAATTCCACATATATTTATTTGTAACATATCATGTTGTGATAATGGACTTTCACTTATATGCCACATACGTAAGACTGTTAAGGTAGATGTGCGAGGGAGCGAAGACATTGCAAGAGGGATGGACAAATGGAAAAAAATCCCATTTAGGTTCCTAGAAGACATGACAAATTCAATTTCAGTGCAGAGACAATCCATCTCGACATTAACACATACACAAATGTGAGAATAAAGGGATTCCTATATGTGGGCAAAAATAGCATCAAAGAATACAAGCCATTTGAGCCATTTACATTCTGTACCGTGGTACATACATTTTTAATCATAATGTAACGAGATTCCATTCCAATGTGCATCATATGCCAAATTCAACCAGGCCAGAATGTATTTAAAGGACGACAATGACACATCACAGATTCAGTTAGAAATATCAAATTGTGTTGTGAAGTTCTTACTTTTATTTACGTGATATGGAAGTCGCTTGAGTTGAAATTGTGTGAAATTTATTTAAAAAAAAAATTGTGAAAAAAAATCATTTTTAAGAGAAAAATAACTCATAATTAGGTATTTATATACGAGAAACTAGACTTTCCAAATCATATGTGACTTTTTTTTATGTAAACTATTTATTATAAGAGCATTAACATGACGAAAATACAAGGCTTATGAGTGACTTTTTATGTGATGAATTTTTTTTTTTTATATTGTTTTGTAAAGTTTTCAAGTCTTTTTCCAATTCATTTGAAATGTAAATAAGTAGAGTATAACAGCAAAAGAAATAAACTCAGCGATGTTTAACGATTATGTTGATGAGTTATGAAATATTGACGGAAAAAATTATGTTTAAATAAAAAAATCATTTTTGATGGACCCAAAAATTGTTATGATCTATGAAGAAATCGTTAAAATTGTGGAATCTTAAGGAATTTTGATAAACTGTTAAATGCTGACTATAAAATTTTAATTCAACTTCTTTTTAACGATTATGGTGATTTTTATGGAAAGATTATTAAAATTTCTTTGAGAGAATTTGTTACAAATGAAAGTTTTCTAGATTTACGGCAGGAAAACAGTGTAAATAAGCTGATAGTGAGAGATATTTGATAGTTTGAGGAATTTTTAATTGTGATACTTTGCAAAATCTACTGTTTACCTGCTATTTTCTTGAATATTTTGCTTATTTTGATTAATTTGGCTGCAAATTTGATTCTTTTGACAAGATTGATCAACAATTAAACAGTTCAAAATTTAAAATGGAACTTAAAACTATTTATTTCACTTAAATTACGCACACATAAACATTTCATAAAGAAAAATTAAAACAAAAGCTTGCTCAAAATGATACAGAAAATTTAAATTCTCAATTTTCGTTGAAAATATTTTTTTATAAGCCAATTATAAAATCTCAGGTTTCTTACTTAAAAACTCAATAAGCATCATTCTTAATGCCATGTAATTACAAAGTTAATCTTGATAGACCTCAAAAATCCAAAGAAACAACCAAAAAAGGACAAAAATCTTCAACATCACCTTAAAAGTCAAGTCTATTATCATTAACAAAATTTCCTTTCCACTATTTATCGCAATTAACATCTCAATTAATTAACTCCGGTTAATTTTTTATCTCCTTTAACTTTCTCAATCTTTCATCATCAGCAGGCAATCATGAAATCCATATTATTATTAACACTATTAATTTTGGCGACACTGCATGTACAAATTAGCACAACCTTTGGCAAGACCATAGCAAAGAATTCATCAACGCAAAATGAGTCAGAGAGTTCAAGCACAATGAAAATACGTGAGGATAAGACAAAACAAAGCGAGACAAGAGTTCGTCGAAATTCAAACAGCAATGATGATTACGAAGATTTCTTAATTAACCAGCTGTCACGCGAGAATGATATAATGACCTCAAATTTTTTAGACACAACAGTGACATGTAACAAGTAAATTACAGTCCTCTCTCATTATGAAGTTCAAGAGCCGAACATATTATTTTATTAATGTGCATTTTTCTGAAAAAGTTTGTTGAATTATGTGCTCATTTTGGGGTATTTATTTATTAGATGTGGAATTAACGGTGCTTGCCACTTTTTTCTTAATGAATTTACTTTTTTACAGATGTAAAATGATCTAATTTGAGCAAAAACAGAAAATTACTTTCCGAAGTGATAAATATTTTTTTCGAACAATTTTGATTACAAATCGTTGAAATTTTTTAAATCTGAAAAATTCGTTAAAGTTTTTTTTTTGAACTCTCAGAAAAATGCGCAGTAAACTACAAACTAAGTCGAAATTGCTAGCTTTAACAATATTTTCCATTTCTATTTCTTTGTTAAATAATAAACGCTGCATCATCATCAACATCACACATTCATTACACGTCTAGTTTGAATGATTTGGAAAGTGATATAGTAATAGAAGAAAGCCTAAGAAGTCTCATTGATCCGCTATGTACGCAACTTTGTCGAATCGAGATTTTGGATAGAATGTGGAATACTGTAAAGTGTCACCAGCAAATGATAAATCGCGACAATAATATTTTGGAACGAGATCGTCGTGGCAAGATTGACAATCTCTTACGTGATGAATTATTCGTACCTGTACGAGGTAGACGTACATTGGAATTGGATCAATCGTCACCACAAAATACACCCGAAAAGAAGGCAAAACTTGATGTTTTAATAAACGATCTGTTCGTGCCACATCGAGGCAAACGACATTTGGTTCGAAAGCACTTTTTACTTTTTGATCCATATCCAATATCAAAGAAACGCAACATTGAGTTGGATATGAAAGATTATTTCGTACCAAATCGTGGAAAACGACGACCCAGCAGTAAAATTGATGAACTTTTGTCGGATAATTTTTTTCCACAACGAGGCAAAAAGGCATCTGTACCCGTTCTGCCAACAATTATCCCAAAATCGCATCATGCTTTAGTCGAATATGCTACAATGGAACCATGGCTATTTCAAAATATTAACACAAATGACAGGCGCATGATTGATCGTCTACATGATTTAAATCTTGGAAGTGAGGTAAGACAATCATTGCAGCTTGACGTTGCTATGAATTTTATATGCTATATATTAATTGTGAATGAGGGAATATGAGGGAAAAAAAAAGATAAATTGAGATGGAAATGAAGAAATTGTAAAAGAGAAAATGACATGAAACATATGCAGAAGTAGAAACGGCAGCAGTCGCAATATATGAATGCAAAAAAATACATTTTAAAAAGTGCATAAATGGATAAATACTTTGAGATGGAAAAAGAAGAGGAAAATTGTTTTTAAGCGCGATTTTTTGAGATGGAAATTTTTTGGAGGTTATGTTTGATCATTAGACTTTGGTTCTATTTTAAAACAATATTAACAGTCTATTAGAAGAATTTCTACAATTTTGAGTAATTCTTGAATGTTTAAAGAAGTTGACTTGTCTTTACTAGGTTTGACTTGATTATCCGACTAGATTTGTCTCGATTATCCGACCAAGTTTTTCTTGGTTATACGACTAGGTTTGACTCGATTATCCGACTAAGTTTGACTCGATTATCTGACTAGGTTTGATTCGATTTTACGGCTAGGTTTGACTCGATTATCTGACTAGGTTTGACTCGATTATCCGAATAGTTTTGACTCGATTATCCGACTAAGTTTGACTCGATTATCCGACTAGATTTGACTCGATTATCCGACTAGATTTGACTCGATTATTCGACTAAGTTTGTCTCGATTATAAGACTAAGTTTGACTTGATTATCCGACTAGGTTTGACTCGATTATCCGACTAAGTTTGACTCGATTATAATTTATGCTTAAATTGGCGACTGTTAAAAACGCACTAAACACAACCCAAAACAAAGTCATTACAATCCATATCTCGCATGTTGATCTTAAGTGAATTCTTATGCATAAGTCAATTCCCATGAGGAATTTAAAAGAAAAAAATTCCCTCTCGATTTTATTTTTGCGTCTTAGTCGATGACGCTTTGGAATTCAAGATGAAGATGTCAATTTACAAATAAAATAATATTTTCGACTAAAAAAGCAGGCAACAAGGCATCAAAAATTTATATTGATATTCTCTTGCTTTGTTCTTGAGATGAAGAAGTTTTACACGCGCGAACGATTCGGAAAATGAATTCATCAACTTAGATTCAAATGGTCATTTTTAAAAATTGATAAAATTCTTAAAATATCAAAAATGACGCGAGGTTTATGCAGAAAATTTGAATGTTTGATAATTGAGAACAAGCATTTCAGGTTCTGAAGGTAAACGGACATGAAATTCAGACAAACAGCAGAGAGTAGAAAAAATCATTTAAATTGAAAAGTCCGAATGAGCTCTGATCATATCTTTCAGACTTACAAATTTTTAACATGATTTCAAACCTTTCAACCCTTCACTAATTCAATATTGATGAAGGTTATGGAGATGAAGATTAAAAAAATACATTTTAAAAACCTGATAAAATGAACATTTATTTTAAATTAATTGAATTAGAATTTACACGACTCACGGTATGAACAACTAGGAATGTGTAGATAAATGATGTAAAATAGCTGTGTTGAAAATAACATGGAATTATGGGTGATTTTCTTTGATACTGTGGATTTAGTCGACAAATAGGCTTTTGAGTATGGGAATTATTTATGATATGAAGCTTAGTAAGATCAAATGTAAAAGGATCTTTAAGATAAAAAGTCAGCAAATCTGTAGATTTGAAGAATTCAAAATTCAAAGCTATGTTTTTCAATCATAGAACTGTTCATATTGACATTAATTACGGCTGAGAAGCTAAGCAAAACTCCAGCTATAGTATTTGGTAGCTTTTTGTCAATAGCTGGCTATGAAATGTCTGATTTCTTCATTCAGAAACCTCAAAAGAGAGTCTGGGAACACTAAAATCAATTTAGAACATTCTAGACATCAAAATCTAATAAAAACTCATAAAACCATCAACAAAACAGGATCCAAAATCCCTCAAAAACAATGAGCAAGCAAATTTCCTCACTCTTATCACAAAATATGATCACTAAGTAATTACCAAAATTTCATTCATTGTTGAAATTCTCTTAAAAAGACATAAAAACTTAAATAAACATTCCTAAAATGTTTTTGTCGAAAATAAGAAACTAGAATGTGAATGAAAGAAGAAGAAGACAATAACAGACGTCAAATGGATGCACACATATAGAGATAAGATAGACACATAGTACGATTGTGCACATAAAGAAATAAATATTATAAATTAGCCTACACACGTCTCACGGACTCTTGAGATCAGTCAGGTAGTTAAATAGAAATGTGTGTATCTTTCATAAACAGAGACATTTCTCGTAATAAATGAAGTTGGAATCTGACCATATTCGATCATATGCTAGTGATAAAAAATTCTTTTTAATTAATTATTATTTGCTAAGCGTTACAATTTTTATATTTATTTATTTATTTTTTTCTGCTTTCCATCTCAACAAAATTTCTTGAGTATTATTTTTCATTTTTCTGAACTGGATTTGGTGTTAGGTTAGATTTTTTTGAGTTTTTTGTGACAGTTTGGGATTAGTGTTCTGAATATCAATGAATTTTAGTGATCAAATGTTCAATTTCAGTGCAAATCTAGTTGTAGTAGCTAGGCAGTACTTAAATCTAGTTAAAAATAGTGAGACAAAGCATAGTTAAGGATTTTAAGCTAGATTCTGATCTAGACTAGGTGCTTAATCAAGGAAACAAGCTCAAAATCACTAGAATCAGGAAATTTAGATAAAAAACTTTGAATCCATCAGTTGAGTCCACAAAAAAGCGCCTTGAAATGCAGCCTTATTTCTATTAAGACATTTTCAACTGAAAAAAATTAATTCTCGTGTCTTTTAATTTTATTATTTTTCTTTACAATCGCTTCAGGCTAATAAAGATATCAGAATAACAGGAGCAAAATCAGCAGCAACCGCAATACAAGGAGAGAAATTTCTTCCACAAATGTACATTAATAATAACTATGACGGCAGTGACGATGAGAAAATGTTGCTTGATTTCACGCCAAAGAAGATCCTTAACATAAATTCATTGAGTGGACAACATGGCAATAGTGATGAGTCTAACTTAATTTTAACTAACACGCCCCTTAATACACGAGAACATGCTGCGAATGATGAATTTACCTCAACATTTATTTAAGAAATATGAAAATTATGCAGCATTTGATGATAAAAACACATTAAAATTGACCCAACCCATTGAACACTAACTGCTCATCATTTTTTATTCTTTACATTTTCTACTATATTTGAAGCCATATGCATAATTATACAAAAAAAAGCATTGAGCTTATCAAGATGGAGCAAAAATGAATTATTTTTTTTGTTCAACATCTTTGTGCATCTTTTTCCAAGTGTAAATTGTGATTGAGTGAATGAGAGACGCTCATAATTGTCAGATTACTCGTACAGACTAGTCTATTTTCCATAGAGATGCATTCAAGAGATTCACATCTCTTAGGCTGAATGAATGCATTTCTGTGTGTAATTTACTGCTTGCCTCACATCATCTGACGAGTAATCCATGATTTTGAAGCTGTACGATCTCATTCTAAACTTTGTTTTGAATGAAAAATAAAAAAAAAATGATGTATGTATATAAATATATATGAAATTAAAAGAGAGAAATTATGCAAAAAATAAATGAAAAATGGAAGTTGAAGTATAGAAGTGAGGAGATCATGATGATCTCTGTTTGACTTTGTTTTATGCTTTTCAGATGTGATTTTTTGTGGAATTTGGTTGGGATTTTTTTTGCAGTTTGTCTGTTGAAGTAAGTTTTTGAAAAAAAAAATTGCATTCGTTCTCAATTCTCTTACACATGTTCTCATTTCTCTTACATTATGCACTTGATTTTTCAAATTTGCTCTCAATTCTCTCACTTTCGCTCTAAGGTCTCTCGCATTCGCTCCAAGTTCTCTTAAATCCACTCTCAGTTCTCTCATATTCGCTCTAAGTTCTCTCACTTTCATTCTTAGTTCTCCCAAATTCGCTCTCAATTCTTTCTAATTTGCTCTCAATTCTCTCACTTTTGCTCTAAGTTCTCTCACTTTCATTCTTAGTTCTCCCAAATTCGCTCTCAATTCTTTCTAATTTGCTCTCAATTCTCTCAGTTCTCTCATTATCATTCTCAGTTCTCTCAAATTCGCTCCCAATTCTCTCACATTATCTCTCAATTCTCTCACTTTTGTTCTAAGTTCTCTCACTTTCATTCTCAGTGCTCGCAAATTCGCTCTTAATTCTTTCATACTAGCTGTCAATTCTCTCTAATTTGCTCTCAATTCTCCACCAAAAAGCGCCTATTCCCTAGCATAATCCTAACTCTAACTCCAATTCCAACACTTATCATTTCAGCAAAGAAAACCTTGACTCGCTCAAAGCTCACTGGAACTACGGCTAATTTAATTTTCTAATTTTCTCTCTCTCCACTTCATTCATGAAGCCTCATCTGAATTTACTTGTATCAAATTGCTACAATGTAATGTAATGTTTTAATATAAATGTAATGAATGTAGTGATACATATCATCATCATGATAAATAGACTCTTGAACTGTCTCTCAGGCTTCATTTTTATTCTACTTGAAGAAATTAATTTAAATGGGAATTGTGAATGGATTTAAATAGTAGAAATGAGTCAGAAATTATGAAATCCTCGATTCTAGTTTTTATGAATGATTGAAAGTAAAAGTTTTTATTAATAGAAAATTATTGCAGATTCTTCAATTTTCTTCTAAGATGCTTAGTTGTTTAACATTTATTAAGCACATTATATATCAAACGAATTGAATTCTTACAAAATATCATCATGTTAGAAACGTTCCAAGCCATATTAAGTTGACAAATTTCAATTCCTCATTTTTGTTCAATTTCATTAATTAACTTTGCATAAACAATATTTTTAATATTTTTGCTATATCACTTTTTGATTGGATACATGTACATGCAAGTGAAGTTATTCTCACAAAAAATTGTGCGATATTCAATAGTATTTATATTTTTAACTTTTTTATAATTCATTGTGGCATTGTAAACTGCATCATCATAATGAGCCACATCAGCTTTTAAGCCACGAGTAGCTTCGATTTTTAATTTTTTATTGTTTTTGCATCAAATGACTCAAAATCCTACTTGTCACTCAATATTGAAAATTTATTGACAACTGTCCCAGCCCTTTTAAATTTCTACAATGTTCTATGCTTATTAGCAACTGCAATTAATCCCACAACATCACATGTAAAAAAACAAATACAAATTGAATCCTTTTTTTATGCAGAAATACATTTGCAATTGGACTTATAAAATCCTATTAGACAATAAACTATATAAAGCACATCAAAACATCCTTTCGTTCAGTCCAAATCGCGATGTCTAAAGTTGAGGACGTAATTAGATTTTATAGAGGCATCTTTCATATCTTAGGCCTATGGCCGATCGGTTCTTTAAAGAAGTGGCACTATCGTTGTTCTATTGCTGCGTTTTTTCTTTTTCTGTTTGTTCCCTGGGTAATGTGTTGTTTGTCGCTGCTGCAAGTGAAGTCTGTTGAGGGTTTTGCATTTGCCATTATTCACATTTTGGGTTTAGGCTGGTTGATATTTGTAGAGATCTCATTTTATGCGTACATTCCCAAAATAAAGAAATACGTGACTGAATTATCTGATATGATCTACGAAGATGACGATGCTCAATCGTTCATTGATGAAGCATCTATTAGAGCATTGAAGATCTCAAAACTTGTGATGCTTTGGACGAGTTTTGCTATAAACTTTGCAACGATTGTAGTTCCTGCGTTTTTTCAAATCCTACCAATTCCAATGTGGACACCGGAATGGGCAAACTCAACAGTTATCTTTGGCATTTATTGGATTATCGAATGGTTAACTTTCAATTATTGTGCTCAAATAATTGATATATTTTTCTTTAGCTTTACAATCGTTGCTATTATTAACGGATATGGCCAGTTCTTGAATGCTCGATTAAGCATGCTTGTGTCAACAGAAGATCATGATGGATATCAAGACTTGGTCAAATGCATTCTTGCTCATAAGAAATTCAAGAAGTAAGTTTTTAAATTAATTTACTTTTCTTACATTTATTTTAATTTTATTAAATACAGAATGGTTGATGACTTCAAAGAAATTTGCGGAAGGAACATTGGAGTGTTTTACAAATCGGTAGTTATCATAATCGGTGCCTGCATTTTTGTCATTACAAAGGGAGAGGATCAGCTTACATTTCGAGAAAATCTTATTTTCTATTTCTACATTGCTGCCTTGTTAATGTATATGTTCATCATGTCATATTTTGGGGACATGATTTACTCAACATCATCACAATTCTTGTATGATCTGTTCTCGAGTGACTGGGTCGATGCTGACATGAAGTACAAGAAAGCAATGATAATTGTCATGGAAAATATGAAGAAACCAGTCAAGTTGAGCGTTCTTTTCTATGACTCGATCAACTTGCAGTTGTTTCAGGATGTAAGGATCTTGGGTTATTTTAAAGATTTTTTATTAATTTGTGGATATTCACAGACTGTCAACGAGGGATACTCAATGTACTCAGTTTTTCAAAATCTCAAAAAGAAGGTCAGCTCTTAAACTGTTTTGTGGAGATGGAAACTATAGCTTGGATCTGATAGAATTTTAAGAATATTTATTGTAATTTTGATGTTGAAAATGTTTAAATTGTGAAAATTTGATGTATAATAAATGTTGTTTAGGTGTAAAAAATTCACAAGTTTAAGGATGGATGCGTAATGCATCTGTTACTAATGATACAATGATTTCTTTGTCACGCATTTAAAAGTCAATAATGTGACCGTTAATCGTGCACAATTGTTTCCAAAACATAAATTATCTCTAGCTCAAAATGAACAAAAATAGGCACTGCATGAGCTTCGTCAGAGAAGGAAATCTATGTCCAATTCAAGTACATGCTCTAAATTGAATAATAATTGATTCTCTTCACGTTTATATAGAAATTAATAGTTTTTGTTTCGGTATCGTTAGCTGAGCTTAATCTCATGCTAGCATTGACTCCATATTATGGCAAAAAAGCCAACATTTCGGTCATGCATGGTGGCAAAAATACAATTGAATGGATCATAAGACCAACTGTTAAGCAAGAGAAAAATATCAAACAACTTTCGTGCGTTACCGTCAAAAAAATATTTATACAGCAGAAGTAATTGAATGAACAATGGACAATTAACCGTTCATATCACGTTCAATTGCATTTATTGAGATTTTTTTATTGCCATATTATGGAAAAAATATTGATATAAAGAGTGGTGAAAAGAGGCATGAAGGAATTCTGAATGAAAATAACTTATGGATGGGTTTGTAGTATGGAAATTAGCTAGAGACGCATTTATCTTTAAAATAGTTTAATTTGTCTTATCAACCTGGTCAACCTAGTAAAAAACCTAGTCAATATCCTATTAAAACTGGCAAATAATTGAAATTAAAATGAGAAACTTCCTGCAATCCAAAAGCAACCTGCAGATCAAAAACCAGCAGCCACGAATTTCTTTACCAATAATCAATTATTTAAACCTATCAATTTCATGAACATTCAATAAAACTTTCAAATTTCCCCTTATTGACCACTCAAATCACTTAACAGCTAATGTTGCTAACAAATTTATGCCAAAATTCAATCCACAAATCCTCAATTTAAAAGCATAACATAGACATCAAGACAAATTAATATATTCCGTCCTATCATTGACCAATATTAAATTATGATTATTATTCAAACCTCATAATCAAAAAGTTGAAAATAGCAAAAAACAAATTCGAATCAATGTAATCGTGTGCAAACAGCAGCGGCATTAAATCATTTTCGATTAATCGATCGTGATTAAAGATGTATGAAATATGGGAAACAAGCAGGAAAAGAAAGAAAGAAACGCCAAATATGAAGAAATAAAAAAAAATCTTTTTTTCGCGCATTGAAATTGAACAACAATTCATTATTATTCTTTCCATTCGGTAGCCAAACCGTCAATTTAGGAATGCTCTCTCGGTTTACAGCCATCATCATCATTTGCAATATTGGCAATGGTGTTTGCAAGAGATCGGTCATAAATGGTATTGATCAATTGGCAAGGTGAAATGTGAAAAAAAAAATTTCTTTCATTTTTTCAATTCATTCATCAAGCTTGTGGCACTTTTCCTGACTACCTATTGGAATGGCACTTTATGTTAGGTCAGTTGTGGAGAAACTTTAAATTGTTACGAAATAATTGATAGTCACTGACCAGTTATTGAGTTATCATGAATGAAAACTCAATATTTTAATTTAATTTTCTGAGCTTACAACTAAGCATTGCTTTTTACTTAATTCAGCGTTGCTGAATATGCAATTCAGCACTGCTGAATACCCAATTCAGCGCCTAATTCAGTGAATATCCAACTAAGCTTTGCTGAATACAGTTTCAGTTATTCAATTCAGCGTTGCTGAATACCCATTTCAGCACTTTTGAATTCTTCATTCAGCATTGCTGAAAACTTTGTTTAGATGAATCCAAGAAAGCTGGGCCTTGTAACAAAGCTTGTCGAGTTCTGTGTTAGTTTTCATGCTGTTTATTTATGATGAACAATTGTACTTACGTTTATTTGCTTTAAGTAGATTTCAAGCTCCTCATATGGATCGTTGTTGTTTTCCATTTCATAGTCTCATTGTAGACATCAGCAAATAATATTATTGCACTTCTTCTGCGACTTATGCTTAAAATGTACACTTTCTACACGACTTTGTGCAGTTTTCACTCTCTTGTATATTTGGATGGTGCCTTTTTTAATACCCCAAATGAGGTATTATTATTATTATGGCAATGTTATAACTTTATTATTATTATTATGCTATACGTTGCACTTTTTATGTAACTTTTCTTCTTTACTTTATTCACTTTCGGACTTTTTTTTCTTCCTTGTTATGGAATTTCACTTGCACTGTCGCCTTTTCCAATAATTCACATTTTTTTTTCTCTTTTACTTCACTTAAGTCCATTGACTTGATGCTTCTTTTTATGATCTTTTTTTTCTTTCACCTTTTTTACGCACTATGTGAAATTATTGTTATTATTTATTTTTTATGATCTTCTTCTTCTACTTGGTGCCATAGATCTTCTTCAATTGATCTGTTGAGTCTTATTTATGATGCCTTTCGTTCTCAGACCTTTAAAAGATATAAGGTTTTTGATATTTATGAATAAACTCATGATACATATCATACACACATGTTTTTTAACAATTCAATTATGGATTTTTAGCATTTTTGGTTTGAAACTTAATTTTTGTTGGTTGTTTATAAATATCTGGTGACTATAATAGATTTTTAAGATAATTATACTGACATTACGAATCCTCAAAGATCTAATTAAATTTTTAAATTTTTAAATGCCACTTTTTTGCCATATTACTTTTTGATTAGGTACACGTAAGGTGCGCGCAGTTCGTTTAGACGCACTTAATTTTTTTCAAATTTTCCTTTAATAAACACTATTAAGACAAAAACTATTTTATGTGTTTATAGCTATGACCAATTAGGTTATAAATATAATAAAAGTATCTGACTAAATGCTTTGCTTAAGTAATTAAAATAATTTTTTCAAAAATTACAACAACAAAGTGCGCAGTTCGTTTAGACGCACTTTGAAAAATCTAAAATTTTGTCTTATTTACGTTTCGTAGAAAACTTAATCGTTTCTAATATTAATCTATCAACAAAAACGAGTAATTACTGAGGGTTTTAGAATTTTCCATCAAGTTTTTCCAGAGATTTTCCTTCATTAAAGTTTTCATGTTGCAAAAATTTTGATAAATTATTTATCCAATAATTTTGCGTTAAATTATTATTCTTTTAACTGATTTCCATAGATAATTGTCCATAATATTAGAAAATTAACAGATATTTAAGCTTTCTTATAAGTATAAGGCGAAAATATGTGAAAAATATAATTATGGTGAAAAATTTCCACCACTCTCATAGATTAATCAACAAATTTTGACAAAACTGTAGATACCATAATAAATTTGAATAGACCAGCTTATTTATCGTATTAAACTTAGTTAAAAACAGAAAACTGCACAGCTCTATGGCTAATGGAACTTGAAAATTTTACTGAAAAATTAAGTTGTGGTGAAAAAATTCACCATAGAAAAATAAAATTTTAAAAAAACTATGTCTAAGGTTTTAATTCATGTTTTAAATTGATTAATTTTGAGACAGAAACACTTTTACAACCTAATTTAAATGAAACAATTGCCTAAAACAACGTTTTTTAAAATTTTATTTTTCTATGGTGAATTTTTTCACCACAACTTAATTTTTCAGTAAAATTTTCAAGTTCCATTAGCCATAGAGCTGTGCAGTTTTCTGTTTTTAACTAAGTTTAATACGATAAATAAGCTGGTCTATTCAAATTTATTATGGTATCTACAGTTTTGTCAAAATTTGTTGATTAATCTATGAGAGTGGTGGAAATTTTTCACCATAATTATATTTTTCACATATTTTCGCCTTATACTTATAAGAAAGCTTAAATATCTGTTAATTTTCTAATATTATGGACAATTATCTATGGAAATCAGTTAAAAGAATAATAATTTAACGCAAAATTATTGGATAAATAATTTATCAAAATTTTTGCAACATGAAAACTTTAATGAAGGAAAATCTCTGGAAAAACTTGATGGAAAATTCTAAAACCCTCAGTAATTACTCGTTTTTGTTGATAGATTAATATTAGAAACGATTAAGTTTTCTACGAAACGTAAATAAGACAAAATTTTAGATTTTTCAAAGTGCGTCTAAACGAACTGCGCACTTTGTTGTTGTAATTTTTGAAAAAATTATTTTAATTACTTAAGCAAAGCATTTAGTCAGGTACTTTTATTATATTTATAACCTAATTGGTCATAGCTATAAACACATAAAATAGTTTTTGTCTTAATAGTGTTTATTAAAGGTAAATTTGAAAAAAATTAAGTGCGTCTAAACGAACTGCGCGCACCTTACATGCAAGTGCAATAATTCACACAAAAAATTGTGCGACATTCAAATGTATTGATATTTTTAATTATTTTTATATTCATTGTGGCATTGTAAACTGCATCATCATAATAAGTCACATCAGCTTTTAAGCCACGAGTAGCTTTGATTTTGAATTTTTTATTGCTTTTGCATCAAATGGCTCAAAATCCCACTTGTCACTCAATATTGAAAATTAATTGACAACTGTCCCAGCCCTTTTTAAATTTCTACAATGTTCTATGCTTATTGTCAACTGCAATTAATCCCACAACATCACATGTTAAAAAACAAATACAAATTGAATCCTTTTTTTATGCAGAAATACATTTGCAATTGGACTTGTAAAATCCTATCAGATAATAAACTATATAAAGTACATTAAAACATCCTTTTGTTCAGTTCAAATCGCGATGTCTAAAGTTGAGGACGTAATTAGATTTTATAGAGGAATCTTTCATATCTTAGGCCTATGGCCGATTGGTTCTCTTAAGAAATGGCACTATCGTTGTTCTATTACTGCGTTTTTTCTTTTTCTGTTTGTTCCCTGGGTAATGTGTTGTTTGTCGTTGCTACAATTAAAATCTATTGAGATTTTTGCATTTGCTAATTCACATTATGGGTTTAGGCTGGTTGATATTTGCACAGATCTCATTTTATACGTACATTTCCAAAGTAAAGAAATTAGTGACTGAATTGAGTGACACAGTCTACGAAGATCATAATGCTCAATCGTTTGTCGACCAAGCATCAATCAAAGCATTAAAAATCTCCAAATTTGTGATGTTTTGTGTGATTTTCGTTGCTAATTTTGCAGTGTCTGTAATTCCCGTTGTTTTTGGTTGCTTACCATTTCCTATGTGGACACCGGACTGGGCTAACTCAACAGTTATTTTCAGCATTTATTGGATCATCGAGTGGTTGACTTTTAACTCCTGCGCGCAAATCATAAATACTTTATTCTTTAGTTTCCCAACTTTAGTTATCGTTTTTTATCTGGACATAAAGATTTTGCTTCGAATTTAAGAATATTTATTGTAAAATTGATTTGAAACATATTCAATTGTGATAATTTGATGTAAAATAAATGTATTTTTAATAAATGTCACTAAGATAGGAAGGAAAAATAGGTTATTCTAGTCTCAACCCAAAAAGTGCTCTAAATCCACAATCGTTTTTCAATATTTCATTCCTAATAATTAAAATGTTGATACATTACCTTACAATTATAACATTCAGCTAGCTTTATTCAAATAATTGAAAACTTCTTCAATATATTAATATTCTATCCACACATAATGTTCTATCATGAATACTGATGAATCAACACAGCAATTCTCATTCTTTATTTCTCATTTCCTTTCCATAACTATGTATCGATGTTATTACGTGCAATTTACTGTATCTGTAAATAAAATAAGAAAAAAATGAGATGAAAGTTATTATTATTATCAAGTTATTGACATTGAGATGATGGGAAATATTTGCAAAGTTGTGATGAGGAATTGGAGTTAAGTGATCTCTCTCGAGGAAATTGTAAGAAGGCACTTATGTCTGTTTTATATTGTAGCAAACTGTTCTAGCAGGGGTATAGGTAGGAACATAGAAGAGAATGGGCTTAAGTTTAGTCAAAAGTACTGTAGATCTATCTATTCTTGCTGTACATCTCTTAAGAAGAAGTGGCTACCTTCACTTGAAGGACTTTAAGCTCTTTTGGGTCATTAATCACCTTTAAAATTTCTCCCTGACTTCACTCCTGCATTCTAGAGATAAAATGGAAGTGAAAGACTTCTTCGTGAATAAAAATGAAATTCTAATGAGGATGTGAATACTTTAGGATTCTACAGGCTGTCTGTTCCCGTGCATTCTTGAGAATTTTTGTACAATTTTCTTGTTTGTTTCTTTAAAAATTCATTATTCTCGTTCTTAGCTACGGGAGGTTAATTATTAAATGCATTTTATGTCCAAAGGATGGAATCTTAAGAATTCACAGTCAATTGGTTTATGGAGAAGTAAAACTTTATGGTTCTTGGAAGATGCTCATGCAAAAATTTTATTGATTTGATCTCCTGGGGCTTTGAACTGTTGATATTAAAGTAGAATTGAAGTTTTTATTGGATAGATGATCGTAAATATTAGCTACTAGATGAAAGAGGGTAAATGATGCGGGTAACTGGTGTAATACTTTAAATTTTATTATTTTTGAAGATTTTATGGTGATTTATGGACTTATAAGTTTACTGTTGAGAGTTTTGCTACTTTTTTGAGGCTTTTTGTGTGAAAATATTTGTAAAATTTTCTATTAGATTTAAAATAAGTTCAAAAATAGTTTTTGAAGTGAGGAAAAATTCAAAATGGCGGATCTGATCCCGAACAGCAAGAAACAACCAAAGAACAGAAAAGACATTTAAGTTCAGTACACTCAATCAAAGTTTAATAACCGTATTATTCGACAACCAGCTGAATACACAAACAAACCTAAGCATCATCATCAAAAAATACAAAAAATTCCAATTCAGAAAACACATTTTTTCTAATGGAACGGAACAAACAATTTCTCCATAAAGTCATAAAAAAATATTTTAATGTCCATCCACAAATGTTCAATTCCTTTATGTCCAACAAAAGGAACAATAACATATCATGAATAGCTCAAAAAAAGAAGAAAATCTACTTCCACACCCTCTCTTCAAACACTGCTCATAATGACTCAAGATATATTTAAAGTAGTAATAATAAGTCTTTGCGTCTCAACATACAATTAACAAAACATAAAAGAGATAGAAGAGATGTGTCATGTAGTGGATATCCATCTACATTTATTCACATGTTATACACAAAGTACATGATCATCTCCATCGTCTTCTTTTATTATTTTATTTTTATTTCTACGAAAGTATTATGCTAAAAAGTAAAGGAATTAGCAATTGACTCGTATTGACCTTAACCATCGGTAGATGAGATATATTGCGATTGCTGTAAATTTGTGATGAGGTCGCAAAATGCGACTTTAACAAAACGATTTTCAGTCACGCTATTTTTTCGCACTGCTGGAAGTATATTGCATGCTAAAAAGCCTTGTTACTACTTGTGGATGTAAAAAGTAATTTTTAAGTGTCTGATTTTTTTTTTTTCATTTAAATTTCTAAGGTAGTAAGCTGGTTAGAGGCTATTCAGATTTAAGGTTTATAATGATTAGAATGAAATTTTTACTAGCCAAACCAAATGGTCACAGGTATTTGGCGGTATACCACTAGTTTCCGAGCCTGATTAAAATCAATGAAACGACACTCCAAACATAACCACATTACGAGGAACTTCGATTTAGAATTTTTAATCATTGTAAAAGTTTTTGCATCAAAGGCATTAAAATTGAAGAACCTTTTTGACTTACAACAGCTCAGAACTTTATGAATTTTTTAAAAATAAACGACAATATTTTTTTTATTGTCACAATCCTTTTAACAAGTGCAATTTCTCACACAATTAATTCTAATTTCAAACACTGTTGTGTCCACACTATGATATAAAATGCACAGAAAAATCCTTTTAGTGTGATTCGTGATGTCTAAAGTTGAAGACGTTATTAGATTTTATAGAGGGATCTTTCATAACTTAGGTCTTTGGCCGATCGGTTCTCTTAAGAAATGGCACTATCGTAGTTCCATTTTTGTGTTTTTAATTTTTCTGATATTTCCATTCGTGATGTGCTCTTTGTCGTTGCTGCAAGTGCAAAGTATTGAAACTTTTGCACTTGCAACTATGCACATTGTTGGATTGGCTTACTGTGTATTCATTGTGGTCTCGTTTTATGTTTATGTACCAAAAATTGAAAAATTCTTGATGAAATTGTGCGAAACGGTCTCTGAAGATGACGATGCTCAGACATTTATTGACGAAGCTAGTGTAAAAGCATTGAAAGTTACGAAATTAGTGCTGTTTTGTGAAATTTTAGCTGCTAATTTCGCATCGTCTGTAATTCCTTTGGCTTTTGGTTGCTTACCATTTCCAATGTGGACACCAGACTGGGCTAACTCAACAGTTATCTTTGGCATTTACTGGATCATCGAGTGGTTAACTTTTAATTATGTCTGTCAAGTTGTAAACATTTTCTTCTTTAGTTTTGCAATCTTGGTAATAATCAACGGATATGGAAAGTTCTTGAATGTTCGACTGAGCATGCTTGTGTCAACGAAAAACCATGATGGATATAAAGACCTCGTCAAGTGCATTGTTGCTCATCAGAAGTTCAAAAAGTAAGTGCTTGATTTTTTTTTATTTTCTAATAATTCATACTTTTGTGCAGAATGATTGATGACTTCAAGGAAATTTGGGGTGCAATGATTGGAATATTGTACAAAATCATTGTCATCATAATCGGTACCTGCATTTTTAACATCACAAAAGGAGAACATAAACTAACATTTCGCGAGAATTTAATGTTCTACATTTACATTGCTGCTATGGTATTGTATATTTATGTTCCATCATATTTTGGAGACATGATTTACTCAACTTCATCACAATTCTCATACGATCTGTTCTCAAGTGACTGGGTCGATGCTGACATGAAGCACAAGAAGGCAATGATAATTGTCATGGAAAATATGAAGCAAACAGTCAAGTTGAGCATTCTCTTTTATGACTCACTCAACTTGCAGTTATTTCAGGATGTAAAGAACTTGGTTTATTTTTGATGTTTAGTCAAATTAATTTTTGGATATTCACAGACTGTAAACGATGGATACTTAATGTACTCAGCTTTTCAAAATCTCAAAAAGAACTATTAAATTATCGTGAAAACGGAACTAATTCCTTGGATGTAATAGACTTTATAAATAATAAATGTTTTATTGATGTGAAAAAAGTTTAGTCGTGGAAAGTTTATGGAACGTTTAGCATGTGGAATAATTGTTATTATGACTAAACTGCGTGTCATTTAAGAAAATAATAATCAGAGATTCCTAACCCAATTAAACCACAAATTCAATTCCCAAAATGACCTTTCGTATCACATCTGATATCTGATATTGTCTACAGTCGCAAACTTTAACGTCTCTGATTTTTACATTGTCTCAATTCAACACGATTTCTTTTTGGAATGTGTGAAAATGACTCTCAAAAAAATAGCACGTCTCGAACCACTTTCGACCCTTTTATTCTCTTCCTCTCTTCTTCCTTCATCTCCTTTTACGTCAAATTGAACAACAGTCAATGATAAAAACAGAGCATCCATATGGCAAATGTTGTTGATCTTTTCATCATTCTCCGTGATCGTTGAACGATATGAAAAGGTATTCCATTTATGCCAAGAATGAGCAAACAAAATCTCGAAAAATATCTTTCAATGACGTAAAAGAGAAGCAGTAAAAAATGATGAATTTGAAAGAAAAGTAAGGCACTAAAATGAAATGGAAAAGGAATGAGGCAAAAAAAAATAATGTAAAGATGGGAGAAATAAGATACTTTTTATTCTGTGGTATGCACAAACAGAATATTTCCATACACATATGGTTTTCTTTTCATTTCTTTAAGGGTCGTTCAATTATGACGTCGACTTACTGAGGACGAGAGGGCTACTTTTAAAGATGGTGCTTTAAACACTGAAACTTTGGATCACTTATAGATGGAAGAAATTAGCAGACTAGATTAAGAGTCTAACTTCTATAAGATAAGACATTAAACACCTTATCTTTTAGACATGCGCTTCTATTGGGAATCGAACCCATCATCTAAAAGATTTTAATTCTTTTTGATCTGTTGCTTAACCAACCGGTTAAAGAGTGTTATTCTTAAGCTGACAGATTCATCTACAAATGACATGATATCCTTAAATCAATATCAAGCAGTCCCACTATTTCTAATGGACGTAATTTGTAATCAACCCTTCTACAGATCGCATACATAATGGGAAATATAAAGCAAACATGCTGATGCTGCCTGCAAGAACTTTCTCAATTTATTCTATATGCTGCATGTTGTTGATATTTTAGGTCGATTATTTGTATAAATGCACATTGTATGCACATGGATATAAATATTCATAGAAGTGAATTGCTGTTGAGTGGTTGGAAGATTAGAATGATTTTGAGGAACGGAGAAAAGGCAGCTTTTTGAAGAGTTATTGATGAGTTGAGAGTGGATTTCAATGACTGAAATCGATATTATTGAATTAGAGAATTTCGCAATGTAAAGAATTGTAGGTATTGACTTACAATTTCAATGAATTATTTATGAGTTTGCACTTAACATTTGAGGGTTTTTGATTAGATTGTGAGAAGGATGAGGGCTTCTTTATTATTATTCATTAGATACTGAGAAGTTATTGAATGAGACAAGCATGGATAATTTTGATTAATTTTAAAACATCTGCCGGGTGCAGGTGGAAGGAGCTAGAATGTTCATAGAAATAAATTTTAAAAGAATTTTGGGCTAGGATAGTTAATTTTTATGATCATCAGAAGAAGCAGGAAAAGGACTACGGCTTAATCGAAGATCCTTAAGACTTAGAAACTTAACAGTTCATAGCTAGACGATCTCATCAATTATTTATGAATTTTTTAAGCAAGCTATTCTACTCATCGTCTTGAAGTATGCTTTGGGCTTTCGAGCATTGAGTATCATGAAGTATTATCAATTCAAGATAGATCGTTTGGGTGGATTTATCACTAAACTGTAGATAGTATGAATGAACATGAGATAGATTGTAAGATTAATTGTGAGCAGAAGATTTGAACGATTGGTCATCAAAGATCAATAGTGATTGCAACTGGGTTATGGTTATGATAAGATATGATCTTATCTAGGTTACATCAGCGTCATAGACTATTTTAATATTATAAAAGTTACAGGAAACAGATTAGTCTAGGTCAGACTAGAGTTCACATCTAAATCCACTTCTTCAGCATTAAAATTAAAAATTCCTAGAAATTAAAACTGTTCAATCTCTAAATTTCAACATTCCAAAACCAACTTACTTGCCAACCAACAATCTACAATTGAATAACAAATCCCATCCAATCTTTTTGACCTCTGTCTTGTCTCTGTCTCTCAAACCAAATACTTTTCATTTAGTCAACCTCACTACAATGTATTTATCAGTCATGATTAACACGATATCTAGTTATAACAACCTTTTGTTCACCAGGAAATAAAGTTTTTGACCATAAATTCATTGAACTCATTCGCAATGCTTTAAAATCGGACGATTTTATGCAAAAAAAAATTATTAAACTAAATCACGATTTGTTTTCCTTTTTATCGCTCAAAAAAAATTTTTATTGTGTAATTATTGCGCAAAAATGTGAACGGCACTTGAGCAAAATATTGATGATCACGTTCCAGCTTAGGTAAACTTTATGAAAGATATGGAAAATCACTCAAGAATAAGCAAAGAAGTCAATTTCTCAAAGAGTAAATAGATGTCATTTAAATTGCACATTGCTGTCCTACAAACATTGATTAATTTTACAAAACTAGACAAGAAGATCATCAACAAATTGAGAATGCGTTAAATATGCAGAATGTGTGTAAAGTAGCAGCAACTGACGATCAAGAGATGTTGTGAAATGTGCATGCAGCATATGGTATGCTTTCGAAATGTATGGGATATGGAAAATAGCTCAAATACCGCACTTCTTTCCAATTGTGTGTGTCTTCTTCCAACAAGCAATATTTCCATATTCATCGCGTAAACATGCATGCTACTCTCGCATCTTATTTCATATATTTGTAATAATTGTGGACTGTCTCTTGGTTTGTCTGCATGTCTTTAAATACTGCTCTGGTTCATAAACACTTTTGTATCATTGTTCATGTATATTTAAGGCTATAATCGACAAGAGGTTGATGACTAATACTTGCTGTTTAAGAAAATGCGCTATTGTCACCCACAACTGACCACATCTACACTAGCCCTAAATATTTGCTGACGTTTCGTAACTGATCTGTTTCCATTTATCTCTTCTTCTTTTCTTTTCGATTCCATTCATTCTTAAAGATGAGTAATGTGCTATTTGCATAAATAGCTATATCCAATTTTTTTGTACTATTCTTTTTAGGGCTGAAAGATTCGACTTTAATTTATTGAGAACGAATATGAGGAAAGAATTATAGTTGGAGAATTGTTTGTATGAATGCATTATATGGTAATAAGCGCAGATTTCACGGAAGTGATCAATAAATAAAATATGTGGATGCAATTTGTGTCTCTAGATGCAATAAAATAATGGGAGAAGTTTTGTAAATAACTATTGTTTTAAATAGATGAATGCAGGAGTTTTGTTTTAAAAGCATTGGAGATAATTTTGAGTTTTTAAAGAGGTTTGTAAAACTGACCGAAAACTATAAAAACTCATCGAAAACTATCAAAACTGACCGAAAATTATAAACAGATTGAAAACGATCAAAACTGACCAAAAACTATCAAAACTGACCGAAAACTATAAAAACTCATCGAAAATTATCAAAACTGACCGAAAATTATAAACAGATTGAAAACGATCAAAACTGACCGAAAACTATAAAAACTGACCGAAAACTATCAAAACTGAAAGAAAACAATTAAAACTGATCGAAAACAATTAAAACTGATCGAAAACTATCAAAACTGACCGAAAATTATAAACAGATTGAAAACGATCAAAACCGACCAAAAACTATCAAAACTGACCAAAAACTATAAAAACTGACCGAAATTTTTTAAAACAGATCAAAAACTATAGAAACTGCTTGAAATTTGACAAATGTGACTCAAAAATGAAGTTATTGCTCCAAAATGCATCAAAAATAGCTCCGCCAACATCCATCGTAGTAAAACCAGCTAAAATATACAGAACGAAGAGTTTAAAAATTACGATGATGGATTTATTACAATAAATTCTAAAAACCGAACATTTGAGACCAAGATGATAAATAGTTCAACTTGATGCTTCATAATTCTTCGATCATTTCATTACAAAGAAAACGTCTTACATGAACATAAAGAAGTTTGCTAGAATAGAAATGATTTACATTCCCTCCCCTAACTTTTCAATCTTCTTTAATGGTGTGTGTGAAGCTGGTGGGAACAGGTTCTCAGATCAAGTTGAAACTTTGTCAGAATTACGTCCATATTACGTCCATTTACGTCCCGTAATTAAATATTTTCGTCCTACTTCCTATGACTGGATATACCACTTTCAATATTTGGGTATCTTTCCCGCCAACTTCACTTTTTCAGCGGGAACCAATTACGAAATTAATTTTAATTATACATATTATATATCAAAACTGATCTCCTAATTACGTCCAATTTCGTCCCGTAAAAATTTTTGGAATCGGATATAACCAGCAAGAGTTATGGACTGTCAAAGTTTTGGACAGTACCACTTGTGGACCAATATTTTTTTTCCCCAAAAACCTACCATGTTATATATCAAAACACGTCTACTTTTTGTCAAGAGCTTAAATCTGATAGAATTATTTAAGTCCAATCTGTCATTTTGGACTTATTGCAGTTTGTTGTTCTTTCATGATGATTCTCAATCAGTTTCCTTTACTTGAGTTATATGCTCTTTTCTGACGAAATAAATCTTCTTTTGCAGTATAGACTACACAGCTAAATACTACTGGAACAGAAGAATTAAATACTTCACTCAATGTTTAGAGTCTGAATTATAACTAGCTTTATTTCAAATTTGTCTGCTCTATTTATATC